ATTCTTCGAACATCATTCCATCACTTTGAACCTCTTCTACTATTAATTCCACTAATTCCACTAAGCTCCTCTAATCTACCATATTTCTTGATCAAAACATTGAAACACAAACCACTCCTTTCAAATTTCTAACATCCAACTCCCCTTCATCTAAAGACCTACACACTTTCTCCCACCGATGAAAATGTAGTGCTTTCATCTTTTGAATGAATAAAGTAATCGATTCTGTGTGATAAAAAAAGAGTATTGTATTGATAACATTAAATGTGAGTATCTCCAAAATAAAAATTGGATCTTAATTCCCAATATTGTGTTATTCATTGTGGTAGACCCAATGTGTTGGTGGTTTAATGAAATGCATCACGTGTTGTATGTGTATAATCATGAGTATTTTGTTGGAGACAACTCAAATTTTGAAAATAAGGCCAGAATGCAACTGTCCCCATAAAGAGAAGAATCAATCTATATTTGTTTAGGCTTTAGATTGCTATGCATAAAAACCAGCACGAATCATATCATGCTTTTTTGGTATCATTGTTAATCTTTTATTTTTTATTATACAACTATGGAGAGGAGCCGAAAACCAAATCAACATTCCAAATTGGATGAGGTAATTAATTTTTTTAAAGATATTCAAAGTTTTAATTAATTTAAATAATTTAATTAAAATTGTTTTATTTAAAAAAAAATTTGTCCAATAAATTATTAACATTATCTCTTGTTAAATTTTTTGAATCATTTTTATAAAATTTAAAAGATTTAGGTAAATTTTAAAATTTTAAAAATATGAACCAACTTGTAATTTCTAAAAATTTAAAGAGATCAATTTGTAAATTTTAAAATTATTAACGACTAATTTGGAAAATAAATAAATTTAGAGGCCAAATTGATTTCTTTTAATATGGGGATCAAATTACAAAATTTGATTTAATAATTATTATTTTGACATTTACAATGTATAAGAGACCAATTTCGAATTTCTTATCTTTTTTTATAAAGAAATTTAATGAAGAAGTATTGTGTTGAAAAAAATAATTTGATGAAATTTAATTGTTTGAATAAATAATATGAAAATTGATTAAAAATGACAAAAATATATAAAGTGTTTTGTACCACTTAAATTTAAGATATTTTATATAACATCTGAAAGCAGATAATTTAAAATTGATCTCCCACTCTATACATTGTCAATTTCAAATTCATTATTATTAAACTTTTAAATTTCGTATATTTGTATTCATATTTTTTTAAAGAGACAAAATGACCCCAAATTAAAAAAAAAAATGTAAATTTGTCCTTAATAATTTTAAGAAATTATAAGTCGAAGCCCTTTTGGTTGCCCTCGCTGGTAAGGGCTTCAAATTAGTCCCTATTTTTAAATTTTAATTTGACTCAATATTTTTAAAATTTATAAAAATAATAAAAAAATTTAAAAATGAATAATGTTAGTACTTTATCCAAAAAAAATTTAAAAATTAATTAATTTCAATTGAATAATTAGAGTTGCGTAAAATTCTAAATTTCTTAAGAATTTTCATTTACCACGAAAATTGCGGCTCTTAGGGTATCCCTGATATGTTAGGATTTTGAAGTTTGTCGATTTAATTCTTGTTTTAAGTAATTGAGTCTCCTCACCGTTAGGTCATTGCATATCTCTTAGAATTGAGTGTTTTTCATTAAAACGTATTTCACCTGCATAAAATAAACGTACCTCTTTCTCTTAAAAGGGAGAAAGCATCAACTAAACATTGTGCTATCAACGTATGGTCAGACACAAGGGCCCAATGATGCGCCCACCACTCTTCGAATTCCTGAGTGTAGTGGAAGGAGATAGTGTAGTCAAAAGCGTGAAGAAAAACTTATTTCTTTCGTTAAAATATGCGGCTCTCTTTAAGCTACTTCTCAGAAGCGGTGTCAACCCAAAATACCTGGCTACCAAGTTCGGTTGGTAGGGAGCCACCCTCAAACCTAACTACAAAGTGGTAAGCCACGTCCATATAACGTTGGGGTTGAAGCATGAAAATGAAGTGTTTTCTATCTCGTCTTGTCCTTGTCGTGAACGATTAGGGTAATTTCCTTAACTAATCAGAGTTGCACTATCGACTGACAAATGGTGTTATTGACTAGGTGAAATTTTTGCATGTGTAGAACATTTAAAAGTAATTTTCGTAGGTGTCTAAAGAGACCTCCTTCCTATCATCGGGAGTAAGCTTAACTATTCAAGGTCCTTCGAATCCTACCTCTAGGTTAGGAGGAACTCTAATTTTAAAGGAGAGTTCGAAGGTGACATTCAGCCACAATTGCAAGAGCCAGTTAGGACCACCTACTTGCAGACAATTTGAGACAATTTGCAATGGCTAACGCCGAAGATTCATAGAGTCCCATCAGTATCAATCTGCTCATGTAGATTTTTCTTCCCTCATAAAGTTGGGTGGCTAGAGGCACGCATTTCTTGGCTACATGAATGGATCAAGTGCAAAACACGTACCTCGAGAGCCATTAAGTGAGAAAAGCAACGTGTTCGTGTGAAGAGATTCCAGTTTTTGTTTCTCGATGATCTTCTATAAAAGAGTTGTAAGCAGACCTGGAGAAGTTGAAGGCAGGTTCAGTACTTGTTAGCCTTATGGGGTCGAAATCCATCCCAGTTGGTCGAAGACGAACTATAACAACTATGTCAGAAAAGGTGGGAGTTACCACCCCACAAGGTAGTTAGGAAATGTTGGTGGATGTATCTTAGAGACACATGAAAGAAATAAGCATGTGAGGGTTATAGGAGGGACCCGCCCTGTACAGCTGGATCAGGTCGTAGATCCTTAAATCCTTCCAAAAATGTTTCTTTTTCTTCTTAATGCAGTCCATCCATTTCACGTACTCAACATCCTAAGTTAGAGGAAAGGAACAAAAGACATGATTCTTAAAAAAGTTAAACTTGAAGGGTTCATCACTAAACACTAATGGTTCATACCCATGATAGACGAGGAAGAAGTCTTCAAGCAAATGGGGTTTCTTGATATATTTAAGTAAGGGACACATAAACACACACACACACACACACACACACACACATTACCAACAAAAATGTAGGGGATGAGAGCATAACAATACTATATCTTTCTTCTTTTTGCTTCCATAGGATGTTCTAGTACATAAGCACAATCATTGAGGAATATGGGAAGGTCGATTTCAACTGCGAAGTCGACATGATGTTGCTCTAGAAGCACCGTTGAAGTTGAATGAGGTTTCTTAGTGAATAGCTTAAGGAAGAAGAAAACAAGAGTTAGGATTTTTGTTTCTCTGTGTTTGAGTTGCAGAGGAAGGGAAGTGAGTGGAAAACACGTTTAAATAGAAAAAAGGAAAAAAATGGTTCAGTTTTTTCCCTAGAGAAATTCGGCCACGTGGTGCATGAGTCGACAAAAGGCACATAAAATCCAAGGGGAAAGACAAAATGGAATTTAGAGAAATTATTAATGATTCCATTTCATTTAAACCTTCTAGGAAATAGAAGGTAATCATCATAAATTTGCATGTACGTCTGTGACATGACATTTTTGTGTAAAGTGGTCATAATGGCTACATTAATAATTAATTATTGACGTTTCATTGATTTAACATGTATAAGGTGAATAGTGTTGAAGAAGCTTATAAAACGCTATCTTTCTTCCATTCAATCATGATCGAAAGTGGCATTTTTGGTGGGCATCTATTGACCTGTGATTTTCTGGCTAAGAGGAAAATTAAGTCAATGTTGATATGATGAAATGCTAAGTGTAACAAATGATACATGGTTTGACAATGATGGCACGTCGACCAGATGACCTCAAATGGCATCTTAAGATGTTAGTTTGGGAAACCTCAAGGCGTTATCTTGAGAAATGAGTTGAAAGAGTCTTAGGAGTAGACCTAAAAGGCTAATTTGACACCATGTCGATAGAAGACTCTTCAAACGAATTTGGTTACTTAGAAGATTGAGGAAATCAAAGTGAAGATGACTTTATGCACTCGGTAACTATCTTTGTCGAGCAAGCAGTTGCTCGCCTCTAAGTAGTTAAAGAGTGTGGGATAATGACTTCAATAGTTTTCAAAGCCCTAATAATGTGGCAAAATATGGAGTAAGGAGTTGCATGCATTCAAGTGACATGTTAGTTCTTATAAGTGTTAGAACTGTCGAAGACAATTATTTCTAGGTAGTATTTATAGCAGACTCGTGTGTTATAGCAAAAGGTTCGCAAGTTTTCACATAAAATTCACTATAGAACTGGAGTAGCCAAGTCAAAGAGCGAAACAGTTTGTGAGAAATTATGTGAGTTTGTGCCCCTCTTTTATCTTGTACTTTTATGTTTCCTTAATTGAAACAACTTTATTCTTCTTGTCATTTACCACATTCTTATTTAATGTTGTTTATTTCAAGTTCTTTTTATTTCAATTTAAACGTCATTTTCTTTAAAGTCTATTCACGCACGGTCTATAATATGACAATTTTAGTTACGTCTTACACGTACGTCAAAGTAAATTTTTTAACACAAAACCAATCCCAAAATTTTTCGAATTAATCTCAATAACTTTCAAACTCATAATTGTTTGCTAAAACACTCATAAATTTTCTATATATTTCTCATTTCTGACAAAAATATATGTAGTACATTAAATGGATCTGATTTCCTTAATAAGAACATAATTACATGTAAGTTAATAATTACAAATTGATTACAAAATAAATAGAGAATAATTCTATCAAAACTTTTAAACCAAAGTGTCATTAGATAATAGTTAAAATAAAATTAATATATAAAAGTATAAATGAATGTTAATTATATAAATCAATATGAATTATAGTTTTACATCAATACAACTCAAATAATGCTCCTACAATCTATTGTCATATTTAAACAAAAATAGAATCAAACCATGTCCCAATAGTAGGACCTTATTTTCATGTAACAATGAAGATCAGAAGCAGAAGACATAATCACCACCAAACTTTGCAAGCAATTCAACAATTTTCATGACTTGTTCAAGAAACTATTATTTCGAATGGTTGATGTAGCTCTTATTTTCCTTTTAGAAATTTGAATAAAATCATCAAACTGCTTCATCTGGTAATTTTCTTTATCACTGTTGTTATCAATGTTAACCTCATGATCAGGTGCTGGAGGTACAGTGTTGTTACTCTTCTCCCATTCAATATTGGACTTCGACATTGTGTCGGTTCTGATTCTATACTTAGCACGTCGAATGAAATTGTTGAATGTTTCATCACTATCAAGTGGTGTCTCTATCTTGTGTTTCCCTATATATTCATCATCTCTTAGTGTTGTTGTACCTTTGATGCTATCACCTTGTTCTGTTGGAAAACTCATCATTTTTTGTTTTGGAACATGCTGTACAATTGAAGAAACCTTTGTTGTCTTGACATGGACTTTTGAGTTTGATGAGTTTTTGTTACCCATAGCTTGGTTTTGTTAAGAGGAAGTGTTTGGTTTCACAAACAGGTGCTAAGAAGATTATGGGATTAAGTGCAATTTGAAAGAGGTGCAATTAGCTTCTTTTATAGTGTATTTGAAGATGCTATACTGGGTTAAAAAAATAAGATTCCTAATGAGGTAACTTTTTCTAAACTAATTAACTAGAATATATATAACTAGTAGAATTTTGATGGCTTTTTAATTGCCAAATTTGACGGCGGCTTAATAAGTGATTAATACTTTCAAAGGAACAAGTAGATGGAATCAGATTCTATAAAGACTTGAAGAAATATAGAAACTTCATTTTACAACTTGCAATTTACAATAACATCACGTCATACTGGTTTCCTATGAAGGAGCTGTGAAACTTGCTTCTATTTTTTTATTTTAATTATGGGAATGTCATGTTATTGTTGTTAATTAATGTCTTTCTGGTGGAATACAACTCTCAGTTGTTGAAATTGTGTATATATACACCTTTGTAAGTGGTGACAGAATGTAAGTGGCACACACCATAACCAAAAAGAAAACTAATTTATATGCAGCTTCCTATATGTTTGTGCTTGAATATTACTTGGGTATTTCTAATTTAAATGTAAAAATCATAAAAGTTAAAAGTTAAAGTTTACTTAAAAAGTTAAATGCATTTTTGGTTTGTGGACAGGAATTTATTTATTAAAAACCTATTTTAATGGGAAGAATTTTGTTTTATCATAATTAAGTTTTATTTTGAGATTGTTTGAGTGACTTTGGTTCATTAGTATCTAGATCTATTAAGAATGGTTTGGGATTTTAAGTTTAACAAGCAATGGGATGGAAATAGGGCAACGGGATATTTTGGACTATTGTCTGGTGTGGTTGAAGTGCGAGTTTATCGATTGAGGACTTAAACTTTTTAGATTAATTAAAGGATGATTTGATCACAATGATTTCTTAGTTTTTGTTTCGAAGCAATGGGAAAATTTTAAGGTGGGGTAAAATGGCATACATTCTAAAAGAGAAGCTCAAATTATTGAAAGATAGGCTCAAATAGTTTTGAAACTTTTGAAATTCTGGATATGTCTGCAACAAAATCATAGAAAAAATGCTAATGCGTATGCTGGAAATGCGAGTGCACATGTGCAGTCGCAAAAGGGGATAAACATGTGCACATGTTTATCTGAATACACAAGAAAATGAACAAGAAAAAAGAACAAATTTTTAACAAGATTGCTTAATACAAGATATTTAACAATTACAAGGCACATATTTGCAAAAATCTAACGTCAAAATCTCTCACAGATAGCTTCAAACTTTTCTCTCATAATTTTAGAAGAATCATCCTCAGAATTTATGAAAACTCCATGTTGGATCAGCAGTTCAGAAAGAACTCGTCCATAAGAAATATAGAATGTCTTTCCTTCATGAAAAGATGAAAGAGTTTTCTTCAAATAGTCAAACATAATTTAAGAAAGATCAATCTGTAAGTTTGAATTGAGAAGAAGTAGCAAATCTTTCTAAATAGAGTCTACAAGGTTTATATCCTTGTCCTTAGGAAGCAAGTTTGAGTTCAAAATCTGATTTCAAACAATTGCATTAGGACGAAGATTTGAGACCAGAGAAATGTCTGTAATTTCTTCAATCTCCTCATAGTTGATTACATTAGCAATCGTCTTAAAGGTTATTGTTATCCAAAACACGTTGACAAGATTTGGATAAGTAAATCCACAGAGCATATCAAAGTATTCATTCCAACTTTGTTCAGAAACAGTCTTCCAGAAGTTAAAACCTTGCTTAAGCAGCTCATCAAAATCGACAAACTTTTCATTGATGACTACTAGTTGATTCGGTGAAGAATTGACTAATGGATTCATCTCGATTTGTTTTGATCAACACACAAAGGAAAAACAAATAACAAGAAAAAAATTGAACAAGATTCTGACCAAAGAGGTATAAGAATCTTGTCAGAGGATTAAAAAAGGTGACATGGAATGATGTTTCACAAAGACAGGGGATAAAGATCATAGGCATATTAAATAAGAAAACATCATTATCCAAGGGTCCTTACCTAGAAGACTTCTTCAATACACTAAATGATTTTCAACTTTATGGAATGTTAAGTAAGACAAGGGTTTTAAAAATAATTCTTACTTAAACTGTTTTATCAGAAGTGAAGATTCCTCTTTTAAATCTCAGAGACTGACTTTTTTTCAAAAGCTATATGTCATCAGAGTCTAGTGGGATTAGACTTCGAGTGAGACATCTTCTGTTTAATTACCAGTCTTTGATATTCTATTCAGAGTCAAACATTTTCTCATAAAACAAATGGTGAGAATATTGTTTCCATAAAAATGATCATATTATAGTTAATGATATATTCAGTACAGTCAAATACAACATAGTTTCTTTTTTAAAGATTTCTGAAGATTCTTTTAATATTAACAAACAAATCTTCTCTAGAGATCTAATCAGGGGTTTTGTATTCACTCATACTTAAATAGTTCACTGAGTCAAGAAATTTACAAAAAATGAAGGAACAGAACATACCTTTTTTTTTGTTTTTCTTGGTAGGCTTCAAATGAGTATTTAGATTTTACCGTAGAATTTAAATTCTGTCTTGAGTGGATTATGAGTCAATGGCACCCAAACCAATGATTCCACTTTCTTCTCCAAATTCTATATATTTTCATCCTTCAGTTGTTGAGTTTGGTATGTAGGCATTTCTTCCATCAAATGTTGGAAACAAACTTTGTTCAAGTTTCATGGAAGATGCATTGCTCCTTTCTTCTGTGATATCTGCAGCAAATACAATTTTGAATGTTGGTACCCATATTTCTGTGAGTCCACAAATGTTAGTCCCAACATGCTTTTTATTACATCATGCCTTAGTCTGATAGAAGTAACAAGATTCATTCCAGAACAGAGTCTATGATGAATTATGGCTTTTAACAAAATCTTGTTCTTAGAAGAGTCTTTGATTTTATTGTCTTGGATTAAATCTATTAACTTCATAATCCTTGATTTTGAAATTATTGACCAGCATAGAACCAGATTGTGTTTATTATCATAGGTTTGCACGAGATAAGTCTTCAGCATTGTCTTAGTATTGCCAAAAAAACAGAAGACGAAATGAAAGGTTTCTTACAGAATTGTCCTTTAACACATGTTCTATAATAGTCTTCAATTTCCATAGGAGCAATGGAGTCACTTAAGATATTATCTTTAGATGCAGACTCCTTATTATCAATATTTTAGCAATATGGATTAGTTAATACCTTTTTCTCTTCAATAATTGATTTATTCCTTGATTCAAATTATTTCTTCAGAAAAAGTAATGGCCAGCAATGCCAGATTACTTTTCATCATATTCTTAATCCTCAACTATGTTAGCTTCATTAGAATATGATTTGAAGAATGCTTTGAAGCTTCTGAAGTTACTCTTCCATCAACAGATATCACATTCCATTTAGCGAGATGATATAATCTTTTGATAAAGAAGGCCAATTCCTCATTATCAGACATTCCATATGAATTTTCTTCAACATGCTTGAGGAAATGGTGATCTCTTTGAAAGCTTTTCTTCATCTAATTCTATTTCTTTTATTTGAATAATGCTATTTAAACCTTCAATATCAGTCTATTCAAGTTTTTGACTTCTTGAATAGATATGACTTTTTGGTTTAACACTAGCAAGCATACTTAGAATTTACTTGAAAAATTACATGAAGTGTAACTTGATAAGCTTCTACCTGATTCCCTTCAAATTTGAACACAAGGATTCAAAGATATTCTTGAACATTAGACGTATAAATGATGTTGATATACTTATAATGAGATAGAATACCTACCAGAATGCATCTAACTCCAAGAAGATTTTCATAAAACTTCTTCTAAGCTGGTGTGAGAGGTTTTCAATTTCGATCATCCCTACGTCATCAATTTCTATAGTTATACCTTTTTCAAGGGAATAATAACAAAAGCAAGTAAATAACAAAAGAACACACAAAAATTTATATTGGTAACTCCCAAACTGAGAGTAGTTCAATCCCCTTGTAGCACAAGATATTTTCACTATAATTAAATCAAGATTACAATTGCTTATGCCCTCAACACAAGACTTTACTACTTAGAACCTCAACCCGAGACTTCCTGCTTAAACCCCTCAATTTCAAGACTTACTTGATCAAGCCCCTCAGACTCAAGACTTCAGCTAAGACCCTCGGTCCAAGAATTCCATCCTTATATTCCACGAATCCAAGACTTCTGCTCAATCAAAAATTAATTAAGACTTCAATGCTCTAGCACATAGCATGAGACTTACTGGGCTCAAACTTCACAATAAGAGACTTTGATGCTTAAGCACATAGCAAAATATTTTATCTAAACTACTAAATAACTTGTTTAGAAGAATAGAGAATAAGGTGTACTTGATACATAATCAGAGGTACATAGAAATAACCCTAACAAAGATCACAACACTTAAGATTTCCAACATATTCAATGTTTAAGAAATCTTAAGGCTTTGTATAATTTACAACATATAACATAAATTCTGCATACTTGATTATGTTGCTATTGTTGATCTTGTTATTCTTCCATTCTGATAGAAGCGAGGAACACTTCTATCCTTCTTGGCTCTTCTTTTTTTCTCCTTGTTCCTTGTTGAAAATTCATGTTGAAATTTTCAACTACTTATATAGCAGTTTCAGAGGAATAACCGTTGGAAGAGATAACTTGTACAAGTATCTTTGTTACTCCATAGTATAAGAGACATTGAAGATAGATACATCAAAATTTTTTTGATGCATTGTGTAAAATGTTTAACCATTGCGTCTTACTTGTGATCTTGTACTATAGATCCGTTGAGAGTAGATATTTGTAAAGCATGTCAACTCTTTTTGAGTCATGTGAACACGAATTATAGCTGACAATATATTTGATAATGTAGCTTGCTTTCTACAGTAAAGATAACTTTAGCTTTATCGTTGATTTTGAATGATCATCAGAAGGTGATACATTCAATAAGTTTAGAGACAATATATTGCTCTTCTGATACTGAGGCCTTCAGCTTCAGAGTCTACACAAACCTATATTATCTATCTTTACTTAAAGAACGTTCTTCATATTCTGAGCCACTAGAAGCCAATAACTTAGTTTCTCTTACGTGTGTCCTTATATCAAATTCTAAATGTATTCTTCTTTAAGCTTTACATTCTGCACACTTAGAACACACATTAAATAACACCATTGTTCTTTCAATACTTTGTTATCATCAAAATTTAAAAGATATATATCATGAACAAATCTTGTTCTAACAAAGCAATGATATCTTTATCTCTGCTCGCTATGTTAATGATGAAGTAGTAGATAAATCTAATTTGCTTTGAACCAAAGAAGACAAAATAAAATTGGAATTATATTTTAAAACTAAAATCATTGTATTCATGTCTTTAAATAAAAATAAAAATCTTTATGTCTTTAATTGTAATTCGGCCAAGAAAATGTGGGATCACTTCTATGGAAAATAGCTAACACAACGATTGAAAAAAGGATACCACCATGCTGGACTAACCGTTGTGTGGTAAGGTGTGATTGTGTGTATGATGTTTTCCACCAAGATCGTGTACCCGTGATTATGAGTTATGTAGCGTGTTACCTACCACAACATTTACTTTAAATTACCGTTGTGATATTCTTTAATGCATAATATTTAACAATGGTTGGTATAAACAACCGTTATTATATATACACTTAGTTTATTATAAATTATGTGAAATGCTTATTTCGCTAATGCCCACTAAATCTATAACCTTTCAATCTAATATAAAACATTATAATATAACAAATTAAGTTATATTAAAAGAACAAATTTACGTTCAATGTTAGACAAAAATTCTTTAATTTCTTATCTACATTTTGTTCGAGAACGTGTAGAGACATGTCAGCGGCTTGTTAAACACATTATTGCCCATGCAGAGATTGCAAACACAACAAACTAAACCAGTCAATACAGATGCATTTTAGAATCTGCGTAGCAAACTCAAAGTTCTTTGTCTTTAACCACCTTAAGTTTGTGGGAGGGAGTAATAGAGAATAAAGTAGTTGGAGGAATTAAAAGGTAGTTATAGTGTGCGTAATTAACTCAAATAAGTAGAAGCTTAATATAAAGTGACACTGACGTTGTTGTAACGCTACTTTCCATAAGAAATAGATTAGTTTTACAATTTTTTTATGTAATTATAAATATCATAAATTAAAAGTTTAATTGTAATTTTAGTCCTCTATTTTATGTTTTTAGATTTTGGTGCCACAATTTTAAAAATCTATGATTTTCGTCTATTTTTTAAGTATTTGATAGGATTTTAATCCCTTTTTAAAGAATAAAATCTAACACAAAACCATTAAAAAGTGAAAAAAAAATGTAATTTTGAAAATTAAGAGAAAGAAAAAATAGAAGAATCAAAATTACAGTTAAATTTAAATAAAAAACATATTCATGTAGGGACATATTTAATTTTGTAAACCAATGTGTCATTAGTTAATAACGAAAATATAATTAATAACGTCAATATGAATTATATTCAAACTGTGACTCTAATTTCTTACAATATGAATTATATTCAAACTGTGACTCTAATTTCTTACAATATTTTAAATAAAAAAATAATCAAACCATGTCTCAATATTAGGACCTTATTTTCATGTAACAATGAAGATCAGAAGCAGAACACATAGTCACCACCAAACTTTGCTTCAAACTCAACAATTTTCATGGCTTCTTCAAGAAACTATTTTTTCGAAAGCTTGACGCAGATCTCATTTTCTTCTTAGCAATCTTAATAAATTCATCAAACTGCTTCCTTTGGTAATTTTCTGTATCACTGTTGATATCAATGTTAACCTCATGATCCGGTGCTGCAGGTACAGTGTTGTTACTCTGCTCCCAATCAACATTGGACTTGGACATTGTGACGGTTCTAATTTTGTACTTAGCACGTCGAATGAAATTGTTGAATGTTTCATCACTATCAAGTGGTGTCTCTATCTTGTGTTTCCCTATATATTCATCATCTCTTAGTGTTGTTGAGCCTTTGATTCTATGACCTTGTTCTGTCCGAAAACGCATCATGTTTTGTTCTATTGAAGAAACCTTTGTTGTCTTGAAATGTACTTTTTTTGAGTTTGATGAGCTTTTGTTACCCATAGCTTGGTTTTGGAAGATGAAGAGTTAGATTATAGAATTAAGTGCAATTTGAAAGAGGTGCAATAAGCTTCTTTTATATTGTATTTCAAGATGCTAGATTGGGTTAAGAACTTAAGGTTCTTAATGAGATAACTTTTCTAAATTAATTAATTAACAAGATTATATAACTATTAATATTTGATGGCTTTTTAATTGCCAAATTTGGCGGCATAATAAGAGATGAGTATTTTCAAAGGAACAGGTAGATAGTATCAGATTCTATAAAGACTTGAAGAGTTGTACAAAGTTCATTTTACAACTTGCAATTTAAAGTCACATCACATCATATACTAGTTTCCTATGTAGGAGCTGTGAAGTATGGTTCCTATTATTGTAAACCTTTGTAAGTGCATAGAGAATGTAAGTGGCACACACCATAACAAAAAAGAAAACTAATTATATGTAGCTTCCTAGATGTTTCATGTTTGTGCTTGAATATTGTTTTTTTTTTTGGGCATTGCTAATTTAAATGTACAAGTCATAAAATATAAAAGATAAAACTTATTATTGAATAATATAATATTTTCATTTTTAAAAAGTTAAATGCATTTTTGGCAAGTTGGACAAGACAATAGTTATTAAAAAGTCATTTTCACAAAAGAATTTTGTGTTATAATAATAAAATTATATTTAGAGTTTTTTTTAATCTAAAAAGAAAAGTATGTATGTCAAAGACTTTCCTTCAAGAAGGAATCAAGTGTCAGTTGAAAAATATTATACTGTTTTTTCTACCATGTTTAACATGTGATTCCACTGGATTTAAATGATTAAAAAGTAAAACATATTTTTAACTCATTGATCTTGATAAAAGGGATTCTAAAGGTCTATAGTATATCCTTGAAAAAGGTATTACTATAGAAATTGATGGTGTAGAGATAATCTATTTGAAAGTCTCTATCACCAGCTCAGAAGAAGGTTATTGAATATCTTTAGAGATAGTTGCATTCTGGTAGGTGCTCTATCTCACTTCTGAGTATGCCAACATCATTGATATGTCTGATACTCAGACTATCTTTAAATTCTTATGCTCAGGTTTGTCAGAGTCATATTTTGAAACTTGTCTAGTTACACATAATTTGATCTTTTAAGCAAATTCTGAGAGGATTGGTTTAGATTCAAACATGAAGTCACAGTTATTCAAGAAGCTATACAACTTGAATTTATTATGGTCTATTGGTTTGTCTTGCAAATCTTCGAAGAAAAGAAATGAAATTAGATGATGAAAAACTATCTAACATATCACGTTTCCTAAAACTTGATTCTTTGGAGTATCTGATTATAAGGAACTTATATTTCTTGTTAGAAGTACTTCCTAACCAGCTGGATAGGTTGTAGTATCTGTTGATATAAGAGTAACTTCAGAAGCTTTTGAAATACTTGTATTTCAACTGTTTCCCAGATCTGGAAGCAAGGAGAAATACTACTAGAATCCAATGTCAGTTATTCTTCATTGAAGATGATATTAGTGCAGGATTCAAATAAAAGAGTAATCTGACTCTTCCAGACATTATTGCTTCTGAAGAAGCATATGAGTCTTGAAATAAAAAATCAAGTATTGAAGATATTATGTCAAATCTATCTTGCTTTAATATTTGATAATAAGGAGTCTGCTCTTTAAGGTGATATCTTAAAAGACTCCATTACTCCTTGATTGAGGGTCATCATGGAATTTGTATTAAAGAACAAGTATATGAGAAACGTTCAATTTTTCTTTGTGCTCCGCAGATAATTAGATGATGATGCTTTAATTTATTTTATGTCATTCTCTGATAGCTAACATAATATGGTTCTTTACTTATCAAATATCTCATTGTCTTGAGTCAAGAAAATGAAATTAATGATTCTATCATGAACAAGATCTTGTTCATATATGGTTTATTCTAGGCTGATACTCTGCAATGAATCATGATACTGCTATCAGAATGGGGCATAAGGCGAAGGAAATTCTGTCTGAACATTTATATATGTCTGAACACTAAAGGAATTTTCTAAGTTAGAAGCTCTCCATAAGAGCATACTAGAAGAAGACTTGGTATATGCATAAAATGGCATCGTCATATCTAAGGAAAGAGCCTTAAAAAAACAAGGCCTGAGTGGCTTGCCTCTACCCCTTATTTGGTTCTCATCGAGCTTAACATTTTCACTTTGTTATGGATAGCCACCTGGTGGATGAGGAGGAGCAATGTATCAAGAGATGACCCATAAATTGGAAGGGAAGAATGAACCCTCTTTAAAGGATACTCCTTCATCAGAAGAGGTGTAAATTCTAGAGGAACTTGAATTGACCCAGTCATATACTTAGGCTTGTTTTTTTTATCTTTTGATGATTGTATTACTACCTTTGATGGCTGCCCTTTTGTTATCACGCACTTTTGGAAATATTAATCCAAACACTAAGACTCTATGGTAATTTACTAAATGCTATTTGAATTTATTAACTCATAATTTTGAATCAATTTCTAAGTCTTTTATATTGTTATAACTGCACAAGTTTCTTGCTTGAGGTGAGTTATTTAATTGTTTCTTAGGGAGAGTCTCTTAAGCGTCTCTTGGGGGTGATTTCCTCAAGAATTGCTTGGGGTTAGTCCCTCAAGTGAAGCTTGCGGTTGTCGCAGTGTGAAATGTACCTAGGCGCTCGCGCGCCTAAAATATTAGCAAAGTCGCCACCAAAGTTTATTTATTCCAAAAGGTAAGAGAAAATATCAATAAAACCCTTTAAAAATTGGTCATCGCAACCAAATTCAGTTTAGAGAGTCGATTATACGAAGGGAAGGTATTAGCACCCCTCACATTCGTTGTACTCAACGAGAACTGTTTAGTTAGCTTTGTGAATAAAGTGTTGGTTTTTGTTTATTTGTTTTCTTATAGTTATTAGAAATGAAAAGATAAAAAAATTAAGTTTTTTATTAGGGTTTTTGACGAGATGTTGAATCTCGCTCAAACGCATCCCCAAGTGCGACGGGAAACTCAAAACTACGTCGTTCTGGGCAACAAATGTTTATTTATTGGTCGATTTTAGAGAAATATATTTAGTCACATCCGAACGAGAAATTTGCTTGCTACCCAAAACATAGAGAAGTGAACATTTACTTTGCATCATAATGGATAACATAATATGGATTCTCACAGATTTATGTTCTCGTCGCATTCGAGTGGAAAACGTTACTACTTCTTGTGCATGGTAGAAACAAAGTGTTGTTTGCATTGCCTTGAAATTGATGAAGCATCTTTTGTTAATGAAAAGGCTTGACATCACGCTAAAGCAGAAAAAATAGTTTGATCAGTTGGATTATTTTCAGTTTTACGACAAGTATTCGAAAAGCGAGCTTTACAACCAGTATCCAAATACTCGGGGGAAGAAAGAGGCCTGCACCAAATTAATACCTTTTCATCCAATTTTATTGTAAAATATGTGAGACAAATCGAGTCATGGCTCCTTAACGAAAGACAAGTATTCGAAAAGTGAGCTCTGCAGTTAATATCCAAATACCCGGGGAAGAAAGAGGCCTAGACCCAATTAGTAACTTCTCGTCCATGAAAATGCGCACTAAATTTGATTAATTGTCATATTTTAGTACGGAAGACGAGTATCCGAAAAGTGAGCTTTATATCCAGTATCCAAATGCTCGGGGGAAAAGGAGACCTACACCCAATTGGTCTTATTTCATCCGGTTTATTTGAGAAAAAGATTTTGAAACCGAAGAACTTGATGTTGATCAAGTATTGATTCACGTTGTATGCAATTTGTTTTGTTATGAAATAGTTTGAATTTAAGTGAAAGAATGATGAAACATTTTGAAAATTACTTGATGTTGATCAAGTTTTTTTATATTTTTTTGTAAAGGTTGATTTTAATTATAATTAGTTCTCTAAAAAATAGATTTAATAACTTTTTTTATAGTTTTTTTAGTTAGTTCAAAAAAACTAAAACAATTAAATAAATCAAAAGCTAAGTAAAACATAATAGGGTGCATGCAAACATTTGAGGAGTATGAGTTGTAAAGTGAAAATGGGCCTAGAGTCCAATATCAAAATAAAATAAAATAATAAAAAATAAAAAGAAGTGCAAGTTCCAAACCAAGGTCGGTACCAACTAGGGCACTTGGGCCTAATAAGAGAGGCCCGATTTTCTTTCTGCCCAAACAAAACCCATAAAAAAGAAAAATAAATAAGAAAAAAGAAAAGGGAAACAAGTGGTCGTTTGATCAAACAGACGACCTAAAATTGACCACGGGTCAATCTTAGGTGTTAGATGCAACATAGGCTAGATCTAAGAGCCAAGAAGGAGATTGCATAAAAATGATGATGCTTCCTCCTACACAGGAGTCCATAGGTCAACACCTCACTACACTCATCAAATGACAAGAAGAGAGCCACTTGGCAAGGCAAGGATGGAGGAAAGAAAAACAAAAGAGAGGAAAATAACATCCCTCCCTCATTTTTCACACCCTGTTCTTTCTCTTCTCCCATTTTTCCTCTCTCTCTCTCTCTCTCCCTCTCTCTCTCTCTAATAATAAATGAACACACAAATACTAACACCAAAATGGATAAAACACGATGGTATGTAACACCCCTTTTCTATACCCCCAAATAAACAATTAAATCATTTAGGCACTTAATAAAAATTTCCTCAGAGTATAAATTAACACATGGTATAAAAGAGGCACGTCATATTATCTAGGAAATTCAAAACACATACAACACCTCCTCATAAAGATATGCAACAAAGGGTAAATCATCACAAAGGAACTTAGTCCTTAAAACCCACATATCAACATTTAGAATAAAAGCGGAAACATCTAAATATTGAATCACTTCATTCATATAAACATTGTATACATCAACAGTTTAATTCAAGTCATAAGTCATGTTTACAAAACATTCCCAGCAGATACATACACAGATGTATCACAAAAGAACCAAAAGAATTCCTAACTACCCGGTGCTACATATCAGAGCCA